TCTAGATAATCCAGCAGAGTTATCTCTGCAGCGCCCCTGACAAATAAGAGGTATACACCTGCATGTATGCTAGCTATCTCTGTGTATGGCTGGTTTACATTGAATTTTAATGGGAGAATGCAGAGTATGTAATCAACTGATCTAATTAATAAGCTATACTTCAAAGTAAACTGATTAACACTGCAGTCTTAGAAATGGTGAATTACTGTTGTGTTCCATTTTTGTAATGGTTTGGAGGGTTTAATTTTCCACAGGACAAAAGATTAAAGAACATATGGAGAGTAGCAGTAAAGAAGGGTGTGCATGGTGATAAAATGAAGTTATATGGTCACGCACATTTGTCATGCCAATAATGATCAAATTGTCATAATAATTTATTATAATAATCACCCCTTGATCATCAAGAACAAAATTACTATCCCGCACCCATTATTATTATATAGTAATAGTTATTTTCTTCTTGCCTGTATTCAGAGACAGGTGCATAGCATCAAAACTGATACATATGTGGAACGGGTAATAGAATTTGCAAAGCAATTGAAAATTCTGAAATCAGAACTTCCTGCAGCTATAATTAAACAGGGGTCGCATATTTTATACGTCTGTTTCATGATTCTAAATTGTTGACAAACTAGCTTGATTGTAGAAAATATTTAAGTGATTTGACATACTAGAATGGAATATCATGAATCATACAATACAATAGTTGATACTCATAAATAATATAAAGACAGATATATAATGTGAAGATTTTATTATTTAAGACACACATTATCATGATTATGTCACATTTTAATGCACATACAACTACATCTTGCCTATATGCACATACAAGTACATCTTGCCTTTATGTAATAAAGTATGTAAAACTGAGCTAATGGCCCTGTAGCAGAATGGGTTCTCCCTTAAAGTCTAAATTTCTGTCATACGTCGCCAATCTTTAAAAATTATATAACTAGATGCATTTTATTTACTAAAGAATAAATTGGAAGCAATAAAATATGATAAACAAGATCAACAAGGAATGATTATATTTATTTGAAGCATCATAAATTTACAAATATACCAAAATAGATTATATCAAACATATTGTATAATTCACTTTAATTAGTTCTATGTAAATAAAATGTATATAAAGGCATTATATTTTTAAAGTTTTAACAGGAAAGTGTTGATTATTTCTCCAAGATCATTTTCATACTGTTATTCAGTCTACATTGTCTACATTGTACAGTTGAAAAATAAAGCAGTTCATATGTTTAAGATTTAATGTAATATATTCAATTTGTTAAACATAATTACCCTAATATTAAATGATAAAATCTTCTTTTATTCCTGCTGCTGAAGCCCTTTGGTAATTAATTATTTCTTAATTTAACAACTGACCAGTCAAAATACTCTGAAACTTTACTCTCTGTGTTTAGATTAAGAAGCCGTAGTTTGTATACCTCTTATTTACTACTTCCGCTTATCAGTAGAGTGTGAGAAACTCCCCCATTCTAAATAACATTCTCACATGTATAATGTATTATGCTTGATGTTTATTTGCATGGTTTTATTTTAGAAATATTTGTAAGTTTTTTTCTATTTACATATCATTTCTTGGAATAAATCGATAAGGACACTGATTTACAAGTTTGACCAGAGTTTTTAGGCATAAATTTCATTCTGTATTTAAATGCTTGAAAGTAGAAAATCTGAATTATATCAGATTGGGACACACAATATATTGCTCTACAAATCTAGAACTTGTATGGAACAAATTTTCTCTGTTATTTATTTTGTGTTTTATTTTTGCTTTTTTTTCTAAAAAAAAGCCTAAATGTCTCCGGTTGCATGTCCGTCGCATTCAGTGCTGCAGCACTTTGATTTAGGTATTTAACCGAAACTGTACATTTTGATAGCTTTGTATGTATTTGTGTTTAAAAATTGAAAATCAGGCATTGACAATTTGCACTAAACAAATAAGAAACTAAAAAATCTACACATATGACTGACAGTTAATTGGGCATTTTTGAAATTGCAATTGATTGCACTGTGTGTAAGTGATATTTCTAAGTGAATCGCGTAGAATCTGGAGTATCCTGCATAAAGTATCATCAAGAAGGCCCTTATTGTTTGTTTTTTTATTTTTAGGAACAATGCATGCAAACTGTATTTTTTCGATGTATTGCCTATATCATTGACTTCTACTGTGCAACTGGTTATCTGCCTGTGTAAAAGATTTGAAATATTTCGAATTGATTTTTTGGCCACACTGACTTTGAAAATTGCTTATTGTTAGGTATACTGATCCCCACCTGACCTTATCCTATGTTTGACGGAAAGGCCCAAAAGATGCCTTTGCGGGGTTTATACTGATTAAAAGTACTTTTTACACATGAGTTTACATGTAAATGAAAACAGAGAGTGTTATCTTTGATAAAGTATAACGAATGGACATATTTGACATCCAGAAAAAAGATAACGTCAGTGTTCCGGTAGACAATGACAGAAAATATTTCTGACACTCATGATTTAACAAAAGAAATTTGACAAAAAGATATGTGTGATGTGGCGTTTTACTTGTTTTTTATGTTTGGTCATGAGTACATTTTGTGTGTGTGTGATTTTCACATAAAAAAGCAAACACACACAAAAAACGTAAATAAATGTTCCAATATAATTATCATTCTAAAACATAATCCCGGTTGGTGTCATGACACCTAGCTCCCATGGATACGTACATGTGCTATTAATGTACAGGGGAATAAGGCTATGTTTCTGTTCATTTTCACTTTATGAGATCATCTTGATATGATATATCTTAATTAATGTAAACTAGAACCCATCCAAAATTTTAGGCCAAGTGAAATCATTGGCAATTGTTAAAATAATTGTACTTAATCATGAATAATTTTTTCTGCATACAAGTTTTTAAGCTCCGCCTACAATTTGTGGACACGCTACTGCAGTTTCTATAGCATATTCAGTAAAACTGTAGGTAAGGATACTCCCCTCTCTCCGTGATTTAACATTAGAATTATTTATTATGACGATTTACTTTATATATACTATATAAATAGCAATTTTACCATTTTTTAAGTACAAATGTTGCAAATGGTTTCAAATTGTGTTGATTCAACATGCTATTGAATAAAAGGCAATCACTAAAGAACGTCCAAGACGGCAAAATTATAAATGTTCCAGGCTCGGTTCGATTGAGTCTGTTAATGGCCAGAGGCCACGGTCTACCCGCCAACCCCCACCACAGCACCCACTTTTGATCTGAAACAGATTATTATTTTGTCTGTGTGATAATGCTGAATGCACAAGCTTAATGTCCATTGTTGCTTTAAATAAAAAAATATTTGAAAATCCCAACACTAGACTACGATGGCATAAAGGTGACATTCGCAGTTTTATTTTATCTCGTGGCCACGACTTATAATCTTGATGCCTCAAGATATTATCTCGTGGCCACTACTTATTATCTCGTGTCCACGACTTATTATCTTGTGGCCTCAAGATTTTATCTCGTGGCCACGACTTATTATCTCGTGGCCACGACTTATTATCGTGTTGCCACGAGTTATTATCTCGTGGCCACGAGTTATTATTTTCTGGCCACGACTTATTTCAGCCAATGAAAATAGTCGTTTTATCTTGAACAAAAGTTAATATCACACTGACATCAATTTTCACAGGAGGGTCGGGCCAAACGCACCACCGTAGATTCACTTCAGTAGTTTCCTACGCATTTACCCAGAGACGTGCTGAATTACAGTAAGGGCTTATCAGCTTGTATATCACTATAAACTGTATATATCCCAGTAACACATCGACTTATCAGAGATTTGTCATCATTTATTTGTTCTCTGTATTCTTATCTAATGGTCCTAACGTTGAAGGATCAAGTTTTTACAGATGTATATTTTCATAAAATACACTTACTTTTATAAGTGATAATAACCGGTAGGAAGTTAGCAATAGCAGTGAACAGTAGCAGTAACATGAAAATTGCAGTAGCAGTAGCACATCAGTAGCAGTAGGGAAATTATAAAACGTGAAATTGGCAGTAGCAGTACTAGTAGCAAAATAATAAAACGTAAAATTGGTAGTAGCAGTAGCAGAGTAGTAGCAATCAAAGAGGAGATCTTAAAAAAATTGACATTTGTCTTTGAAACATTTATATGTCAGTTTTGATAAAAATGAAAGAGAGTCAGAAAGCCCATCAAAATTAGTACATCTTAATATATCTTCAATAATAACTATCTAGATACAAGTCTTTCACGGGATTCGAATCCACAGGGAAAAGCGTCAAGTAATTGAATAGTATACATCAACCGCTGATATTTCTTAATTAAATCCTATAGATATACTGTCCTCAGCCTTGAGTAAAATATCTTATATTAATTAAATCTTTTAAAGATATACTGTGCTCATCCTTGAGTAAAATATCTTAATCACAGAAATGTATTTAAATCTTTGAAATTATAACTTTATGCGTTTGACTTGAATAAAGGAATCAAAAAACTATGTACCGGAAGTTCCGTTCAAGTAAGTTGATCTTTTCTTTAAAAAAAACCCTGACACAATATATATTCATGGTGACCACCTATATCGTGTAGAATTTTAAACATGACACACCTACTTTCTGTGAAGTCAAAACATGTTTATTTTATGTTTACAAAGAGCGAGAGCGCGGGTGAAGTTTTATTTATTAAAATAATAATTTATTATGTCGCTGTTTTATTTCTTAAATCTCGCTTCCGCCCTCGCGGGGCGACGTTTTATTTATTTAACTGCGCCCCGCGTCCTCCCTAATAAGCGAGTTTTCGCTCCGCGCCCCCGCGGTTTTAAATTGCTAATTCTCGACTTTTCGCTTTGCAGGGTCGTGTGGCGAAAACACGAATGCCTGGCAAATGACGTTTTAAAAACACCAACCTTCTGACATATTTTGTTAACATTACACTACGAAAATAAGGACGTGCATGAATAATATCTAGTTTTTGCGTACCCAGATAGCAGACAGTAGTTGGCCCAACGTTGGGCCAATTACATTTGCTTTGTTGGCCCAACACATAATGCCAACGTTGGCCCAATGTCAATTTGCTAATTGGGGCAACGTTGGGCCAACGGTTGGTATATGGTTGGCCCAACGACTGCTTTCCTACTCTTATCGTTGGCCCTCCATTGGCCCAATGACTGGTTTTCCTTCCTATCGTTGGCCCTCTGTTGGCCCAACAACTGATTTCCCTTCTTATTGTTGGCCCCCCGTTGGCCCACTGACTGGTTTCCTATAATAAACATTGGCCCTTCGTTGGCCCAATGCCTTATTTTCTACTATCTAAGTTGGCTCTCAGTTGGCCTATCACTTTGTTTCCTACTCTTATTGTTGGCCCTCCATTGGCCCAATTACTTGTTTCTTACTACTAACGCTGGCCCTCAGATGACAAGACCAAAAACAGCATGTCTCCTAGAATTCAGAGAGACCGTAAAATAAAAGAACATAAAATATTCTAATTACTACAATTTATTTCTAAATGTTGTTCACATATCATTTTCATTTTCTTCTCTTTGTTGTTGCAACTTTTTAGCCAGTCTCTTCCTCCGCCCGCCTCCCCTATCCTTGGCATATCTTAGCCACTCCTTCATTGTCTTCTCGATTTCATTATGAGTAGACCCCTGTCTACTTCCTCTTACAGCATCTGAAATTTATACAGTTTACTGATTTTATTTAAACATACACTACTAATTAGAATTTACTAGTTTAAAGGCAAATAAAACTGAAAAACTGCAAACAGAGCTAAGGGATAAGACTTTGATAGTAAGGAAATATTTTAAATTACAAGTCAATAGATTTAATAGTTATAGAGATATTTGACATAATTAAACATTTTAACCTAAAATTTTCAAGTTAAAAAGAGGAATAATTCTGTCAAAATGATGATCATTTACAACACAAGAGGCATATCTTACACCAACGGTGAAATCAACTTTGAAAAAGTAAAAATACAAACCTAATATGACTGTTTTAAGTCTAAGTTTTTCGAGCCTTTTCCAACCCAGTTGTATTCTAGGGCAACTTCCTGAGACAAAGTGTGAGACATAACACGGCGAACATTGCTCTCCACACTATCTCCTCCAATTAGACATAAATTTGCTGTCTGAAATGAAATAAAAACAATTTTGCAGTCGGGTAAAGTAATTTGTGTTTTATGCGAAGTTACACTTTAAATTAAATTTACACAAAGTTTCGTATACCACTACCAAACATATTAATATAAATTACCTATTTATTACTCAGAGCAGATTGTATGAGCTTAACAGTGCTAATTGTAGTTTGTCAGTTTGTACTAACTTGCAACTTATCAAAGATTTTTTGCAGTTATCACAATAAATTTAGATGTAAAATTATGCACATATCATATTTTAAGCTGATTAACACTGATATAATTAAATGGTTTTAATTTCATTACAAAAATCAAATTCATTCCTGAAAACATCAAAGTATTTTCCATTACCAATCCGCCATTTTGTATTAATCACATGACCTGGTCACGTGGATAGTATAACAGGTTTTAAAACACTTATTCCGTGCAGGTTTAAATACATTAATATATTAGAAGGGTTTATTTTAAAGATTAAAGTAAAAAAAACTCTAGATCTACTTACATTTTTCAGTGTTGAGAAATTGCAGTCTAATTCAAATTTATTTAAATATATCTGTAAACACGTCCACGCAGCTCGAAATCAAGGGAGGGAACGGATGGGTAGTGCCAAAATGATCCTATTTCCATTCATTGATTACATAACCAGAGGTTAATTAGAGTTTAGAGTGGAAGATTCCGGAGGTTTATTAGTCGCCGGTAGAAACCGGCCACTATATTTGTAACAGTTTAATATTATACCTATGGTAGGAGAAGGCATTAATTTCTGTAAATAAAAGCATAACAATTACTGAACAATTAAAGACTACAATTGTTTTCAGTAATCTCAAAAATTCAAACATACAATAATGTTGCTCAATGAAATGAAATATTCAAATATTGACATCGTAAAAAGCAACATTACAATTTTTATAAAATGAATAAATGACGTATCCCTATGGACCAGTCATTTAATTTAGGGATGCTTTTACCTTTTTTTAAGTGTCAAGCGTTGCTATTTTATGATAAATAAATCATGCATGATATTTGAAATGACACTTTTAAATTATCTGGTTGTTTGTATCTTATGAGACCTATTCTATTTTTTTATCTTATTTATTATAAACAGTTTCTCCCAGAATCACGTGACTACACGTTGTATGTTATTGTTATAAAATCTATTAATAGTAACAGTTTCTCCCAGAATCACGTGACTACACGTTGTATGTTATTGTTATAAAATCTATTAATAGTAGACATCATACAGGTAATTCGTGAATGGTTGGCAGCTGATAAAGTGCAAATCAAAGTAATTTTGTATGAAAAATCTCGGTATGACAGTAGGGGCCGGAATCGTATTGGATACAAAGAGAAAACTAATTTTCAACTTCTTTACCAACGTCAGTCTGGATTCAGGTCAAATCATTCATGTCAAACAGCATTGATTAGAATTATTGATGACTGGATTACAGCTATTGACAAAAATGAAATAGTTGGTTCAATTTTCCTTGATCTCTCTAAAGCTTTTGACTATGTGGATCACTCTATTATTATTGAAAAGCTTAGAATGTATAACCTAGACCCTTCATCAGTTGCTTGGTTTTCCTCCTATTTAGATTGCAGAACCCAACAAACTTACATATCCGGTTTATGTTCAGAGTCAAGTTCAGTAACTACTGGAGTTCCTCAGGGCTCAGTGCTAGGTCCTATACTGTTTTTAATCTATATCAATGACCTGCCTTTGTCTATGGAAAAAACAGAAACTGATATTTTTTGCTGATGACACTACCCTTTCAACCTCTGATGTATCCCTAAACAGAGTAGTTGAATCTCTTACTCATGATCTTTTAAATGCCAACAAATGGTGTGATTTGAATCGCATGTCTATCAATGTTAACAAAACTAAGGTCATGTATATTTCCTCAAAACACAAGCAAAATTATATCCATGAAAGTAATCCTTGTATTCTATATAAAACAGAGCAAATTTTTTGTAGCTCTGAAGAAAAATTATTGGGTATTACAATTAATAACACCTTGTCTTGGCAAAGCCATATTGATAATGTTCTTAAAAAGTGTAACTCATTGTTACATTTATTATCACGTATTAAATTATTCATATCTATACCTGTACGTAAAATATTTTACAATGCATATATTTTACCACATCTTGATTATTGTTGCATAATTTACGGTAACTGTACGTCTTTTCTAGAAGATAAACTCATTAAGTTCCAAAAGAGAGCTGCAAGACTAAATTCTAGACAAAGATTATGACACTCCATCTGCTGAACTTTTTTTTCTGAAACTCCGCTGGATGACCTTTTCACAGAGGGTTGTTTTTCAAAAAAGCTACTATGATGTTTAAAATAATGAATAATCAGGCGCCTACCTATTTATTGAATAATTTCATTTTATCGTCAGATGTTCATACTCGCATTTTGCGTTTCATCATCTGATTTTCAACTTTATACCCTAGACCAAATACTGAACAATTTCGTAAGTCTTTTGTTTATTCTGGATCTTGTATTTGGAATGGCCTTCCTGATTATATTAAGTCTGCTACATCTGTTAACCATTTTAAAACCTTATACTTGAGGTATTATCACACATCCATGTATACAAATTGATAATCTCCTGTATGTTTTTACATTTATGTATTTTAATAGTTTGAATATGTTAAATTTACATTGTTCCTTGTTGAGGGCCTCATGGAAGATTGATATGTTTGTTCAAATGAGTTCTCTCGTTAAATAAAGTCTTTATTATTATTATTATTATTATTATTATTATTATTATAAAACCATCTTTGTGTTGATCGTTTATTGCACTGAAAGGCAATTAAACGTTAACTTTATCGTATGTAACGACAGGAATATTGATTTCAGCTAAATAATATATTTTTTCGATAGTGCATAAGAATATTTTTTTTATGCAGACACCACTTTTACAGTAGAATTGCATTGTTTTATGCAATAATTAGGCCTAAGCATATATATTTTCATAGTCACTTTGCAAATATTTGATGAATCGGTAATAATTTTTCGGTAATTATCGGATGCTGAAGAAAACCATACGTATAAAGGTATATGTATAAAAGTAGAATTACAAGTAGAAGTATAATCATATCACTTGCTTTACAAGCCTCGATGACAAGGTGTTAGATTTTAAGTTAGTTTCAAATTGAAGACTGTAGGTTCGATAAAGTGATTTTTTATGTTTTTTTTTTTATTTTGCAAAACTTGACCGTTTATCAAAATTATGTAATAAAAAAGTGAAGCACACGATTTATCAACTTATGTTTCATAAAGTTAAAAGATATAATAAAAATCAATTTATGAAAACTACAAACAGGATTTGTCCGAGATTCGAACTTGCGCCTACTACATGTAGGTTACAACTTCGTCATACTTAGTTACCACTAGGCCATCAAGCAGTATTAATTGATATAATTATACATGTAATTATACTTACAATATAAATCGTTTAACAATAATGATAATAAGATATGTAAGCAAACGGAACAGCTCCCGAAAATTATTGAGTCTCGGGTAAATATTGCCAAACAATACTTGCTTATTTTAATAATGATAACAGTTTCTTGACAAAATTGATGTTTTATTTATAACATAACATACATTTATTGCATAAAAAACTCTCAGCAAGAAAGATATAATTGTGGCAAGTAAATGATTACGTGTTTATGTAAACATTACTCAACTTATTGTTCCTGTTTTTTTATACTCGAACCATTAAACTGATATTTTCTTTTATTTATAATAATACAATCATATTTCTATCCGGCGACTTGATGCTTTAGCATCAAAATCTCTACTTGTTGTAAACATTTAGGATGGTTAATCTATTTCAGAACATGTATAATTGCTTTAGATTATACATCAGATCTTCAAGATTTCTATAGATCTATATAGATACATCCCCTACTACTGCATAGCCTGGGCTTTGGTCATTTCTAGACTCACAAAGTAATTATTTTCTTACGTACATTTCTGATTTAATTTATATGAGTATTTCTGAATGTGACAATAATTGAAACATGGCTTCAAAAAAAACTTTATAAACTTAAGTCTTTATATACTCATTGTAGTGTACTGTTTATATACAGTAAAATATCTACATGCATATATATGTGTTTAAAAAAAATAAATTTTGGGTCAGGTGCAGTATTATATTTGACGAAAATGTATCGTTGGTCAAACGTTGGCCCAACATCTGTTTTAAAGTACATATTTATCGTTATTGGGCCAATGCAGAAATGTCGCTGGTGTTAACTTATGGTTGGTTCGACGTTGGGCCAACAACTGCATTTATAATACATGTTAATTAGTGTTGGGCCAACCATGGCCCAACCACGATTTTCCTTTGACGATTTTCCGTGGTTGGCCCAACCACTGCATGTTTACAGGGTATCTCCTAAGTTGAAAAGTCGATGGTGGAAACAGTATTCCGTAGTTTTAAGATATGGCTGTATATGCGTAAAAAGCGGTGATTACTTTCCTGACAAAACACTCGCTCAGTCGTATTTTTCTACATATAGATGAAAACCATTAAGGAAAAAAATTGAAGGCAAATTACGAGTTAACATATCTAATTGACACTTGATAGATTGACCTTGCAACAGGGAACACTTTCAGTTTTAGATTTCCGGTTTCAGGATGTTTTCTAAGTATTTCCCCTTATCTATTTGTAACATGTCGCGGCTGATATATAAAATGTATATTATTTGAAGTAAACACTTAAATGTAATTAGAATAAGAAAAAAAAATCAGTTCACGTGGATATCATTGTTTAAAATTAAGGACACGTGTTTTACAATGAAGTGGATGTATGCGTAAGACCCTTGCAGTTATTGAATTCCCGTCCTGCTTTATAAAAAAAAAGCAGGAAAAAATAAACGAATATATTGCGCGTTTTATCTTTAATAGCTGTTTACAGCAGCAAGCCTCCAGATTCGTGTTATTTTTCATAATTTTTTTGGAAATGAATTTAAAAGCAAAATAATGTTTGGTGAACAAAATAAAGTA